AGAATTTTTCGTGATAACGAGTGATTTTTTTTTCAATTTTTTCATCCAATGTGCTATATTTTAAGACCGCAATAACCAAATTATTTTATCTTCCATTTTCTTGTGCGACAAGAGATTTTTTTGCTCAAACGGAATTTTTTTTGTTCAATTTTTGCTCAAATTTTATTTCAATAAGCAATTTCTTGGTTATTTTTTTGTTCCGTCAACGATTTTTTGTTTTGTGACTACAAGCTTTTTTGAGGCGCCAGAAGTTTTTTGGATAATTTTTATAACAAAAGCCGATATTTGGTTTAATTTTTTATTCCAACTGATATTTTATGACCGCAGTAACCAAATTCTTGTAACTGCAAACAATTGTATTCTCAATGTTCTCTTCCAGTGCAATTTTTTGCCCAATTTTTTATGACCTCCAGCAATTTTTTATTCAATTGCATGTGTAAATGAGCGATTTTTGTGACTACCGGCGATTTTTTGTTCAATTTGTGTATCCGCCGTCATTTTTTGCTCAGTGTTGAGCGATTTTGTGTTCAATTTTATGTGAAAATGAGCGTTTTTGTAACTCTATTTTTTATGATGACAAGCGATTTTGTGACAAGCTATTTTCTGTTCAATTTTTCTACTACCGATTTTTTTGTCCAGTTTCATATGAAAATAAGCGATTTTTGTGGCTACGGAGATTTTTCATTTGCAAATTTTTGCTCAATTTTTGTAATTTTTTTGTTAATTTTTTTGGGGTCTCACAAGTTTTTTTGCATAACTGTTATGAGAAAGGCTGAATTTTGTTGATTTTTTTGTCCCCTCGAGAATTTTTTATTCAAATTTGAAAATGAGCGGTTTTTTGTGTTTAATGTTATGTGGAAATGAGCGATTTTTGTAACTATATTTTTTATGACGACAGGCTATTTTTGGTTCAATTTTTCTACTCGTCGACCGTTTTTTGTCTAATTTCATTCATGTAACTAAAATAAAATAAAATAATAAAATTCATGTAACTTCGACGATTTTTTCATCTGCAAATTTTTGTTCAAATTTTGCAATTTTTTGGTCAATTTCTTGTTCGAGTCAACGATTTTTTGTGAATATGGGCGATTTTTTTGGAGTCTCACAAGTTTTTTTGCGTAATTATTATGAGAAAGGCTAGATTTGATTGATTTTTTTTATGACTTCGAAATTTTTTTATTCAATTTCATGTGAAAATGAACGATTTTTGTGACTACCGCCGATTTTTTGTTCAATTTGTGTATCCGCCGACATTTTTTGCTCAGTTTTGAGCAATTTTGTGTCCAATTTTATGTGAAAATGAGCGTTTTTGTAACTCTATTTTTTATGTTGACAAGCGATTTTGTGACAAGCTATTTTTTGTTCAATTTTTCTACTACCGTTTTTCGACCACAAACGATTTTTTTGTCCAGTTTCATATGAAATAAGCGATTTTTTTGGCTACGGAGATTTTTTCATTTGCAAGTTTTTGCTCAATTTTTGTAATTTTTTGTTAATTTTTTGTTCTACCCAACGATTTTTTGTTTGTGAATATGAGCGATTTCTTTCATTTTTTTCTGGTCTCACAACTATTATGAGAAAGACTGAATTTGGTTCATTTTTTTGTCCCCTCGAGAATTTTTTATTCAAATGTGAAAATGAGCGGTTTTTTGTTCAAAAAAATCCAAAATCAAGAGAAAAATGAACTTTTCTTTCTACTGAGTTAGAATAATGAAGTTTTAATTACAAATTTGCTCGTTTCAGGTGAAGCAAAAAATGCAGTTTTGGTGTAAAATTAAAAATTTTTCAATTCGGGGACAGTTTTAATTTTTTTGAAAAAAAGTGTATCCAGTTTGTAATTACAGTTTTGATGAAATATTACTTGTAGTGTCGTGTCCTCAGATGAAAAATTTTATTACCCAAGGAGAAGAGAACATAATGGGGTGCGTGAGCACCTGTGTGGCAATAATAATAACACGACTTCGCTCGCGGTTATGTGGGAACGAGAACATGGACGAATTCAATCTCACAAAGAGGGAAAATAATCTAAGAGGTTGTTTGTTGACAAGAACAGACGATTTATGACATAATACTCAAGATTTTCAGATTAATTGCCTAAAAAAATAATCCAAAACGTGTGTTACAGTTTGTAAATAGCATTCAGTAATCGAATGGAAATTTGTGTAAACTATTCTGACACATGACAGACGAGCAATTTGTTCCATCATTCTTGCACTTTCTGTTGACACTAAAATGTTAAGTTTTGTCAAAAGTCGGAAATCAAGTTTGAAAGTAAATATATTAAAATGAAGTCGCATAACTGAGTATATTGTAGGCGTTGAAAACGAGTTATAACATTAAATTTTGTTAGACGACTTGGCGCTTCTGGAATGAAATCACGCAAAGTTGCGAAAGTTTTCCTTTACAGAATCTTTGAATCATAAATTACGATTATTGAAAAGTGATTATTAGCAAAAATAACTAACATAAGCTAAATTCGGAAGAAAATAACAATTTGTGACATTCTAAAGATTTTCAGTTCCTAGACGCTTTGATATCAGTTTTATTGTACCCAAAGTTGGCAATACTTGGTAAAATTTAATAACTACTTTCATGAAAAGTTTTACTAAAATACTCAACAATGTTATTGATTTTTTTGGTGGTAATATGAAACATTTGGCAAATAATTTGTAGTATGTTTTAAACTACTATAAAATGTGATAGTGGAGATATTAAATTTTTAAGTTTGGAGTTAAAAGATTGCTACTTTTTCGAGCAAGAAATTGAGAAAAAATCGAATAGATACTCAAATTTAATTATTTTGGGGCATTTATTTTACCCATACAATCAATACAAATGACATTTTAATAATAAATGCGAATACGCATGAAACAATTTATTTTTTTTTAATTTTTAAATTTTGATTCTCCATATTTTGTCACTATTTGTCAAATAATAAGTCACTGTCGACGTTCATTGAGAAACAATTTTGACATTTTTGATTTCTATAGCAAACTATGTGAAAACAGTTGTGGCTAGTAATAAATTTTCTGTAGTCTTAAAAAAAGTCCATAAGTTTTCTTCTATTTAGTAAAATAAAAATTGGGGTATTTTTAAAGTGGAAGGTGCAGATCCAATAATTTTTGAAAAACTCCAAATATTTCAAAAATGGCTAAATTTGGGTATAGGGAAAGCTGAAAACTCTCTTAAAATAACCCGATTAATCCAAAAACGCAGTAAAAAAAATACCTTTCCATTAAAAATATAAAAGTTGAGACCGACTTCCGGTATAACCGGATTTGCCGCCATCTTGAAAATATTTGATTTTTTTTTGATGGAAATATGAAACATGTGGCAAATAATTTGCAGTATGTTTTAAACTGCTATAAAATGTGATAGTGAGAATATTAAATATTTAAGTTTGGAGTTAAATGATTGATACTTTTTCGATCAAGAAATTGGGAAAAAACGAATAAATACTCAAATTTAATTATTTTGGGGCATTTATTTTACCCTTATAATCAATACAAATGACATTTTAATAATAAATACGAAAACGAATGAAACAAATATTTTTTTTTCTAATTTTTAAATTTTGATCAATATTTCTTTTTTTGATAAATACAGGAAAATGTAAAGTTTGTTTCATACATTTATAAAGCGATAATGTTAATATGAGAAAAACGACAGAAGCAACAAAAAAGAAAATTATAGTAAGCCACAGGTTAATAAAAACTTTCTAGAAAATGATTCAAATTGTAGTTAGTTTGTTATTGTTTCTGAACTAATTCCAACTATACTTCAACAAAAATGATTGATTTTATGGCTTCTGGTATTACCTGTTATATAAATCAAACCCAAGTAAATGCAAACTTTTATTACAAATTGAATCACGCTAATTGCGATTTAAGTTAAAACAGCAACTGCTCGCAATTTGGCTTTGTTAATAAAAACTTCTTTAATCAAGCACACTCAAAAGTTATTACTAGCTTAATATTAATACAGGGTTTTTGTTTTTACGAAAATTACTAATTGAGTTTCGAATTTTGCGAAATTAGATTCTATCCCTTTGATTATGAAGCTATTTAGTAGCTTGACTTTATTTTTCACACCGAAAAAATAATATTAAAAATGGAATTAACTCCAGTAGCATTTTTATGGACACTAAATAATCATTTTTTGAGAAAATTAAACGGTGGGGATTAGGAAAATCTGAGGAAACTTTTATTTCGTTTTACAAATAGAAAGAGGAAGCGTAATAAAATCGGTGAAACACAAATCCATCAACTTATAAATCTTATAATCTCAGACATTTGAAGTTTCGGAATTGAATTTACATTTATCACGTGGATTAGACACAATTATTATTAAATTTTCCGTTGGCCTTTTTCAAATTTGATTTAATTTGGGAATAATGAACAAAATCAATAATTTGGTCAGTGTTACAGTTTTCATCACACTTGTATGTATGTGTCCAACTCGCTTCATTAAAGCCACACCTGAAAAGAGTAAATAATTGGTTTCAGCGTGCAGTGGATTTTTGAAAAAGATGTTGTTTATTACATTTGCGAATTGCCACAGGTTTAGTGCTTTGTCCATATTTTATATAATATTCAATTAGAGAGTTTGCGGTATAATGATATATGCGTTTGTGTGCAATTCCACATGTTTATCAATAAAATGGAATTGTGAAATGAAATTTTTCATGAAAACGAATTTAACAGGAGAGCAACTTCTGGAGTTGCAAGAAGAAAAACAAAACGATTAAAAAGCAATTTTCTTTTAACTTGAGTGGATTAATTTTAATTTGTTGAATGCTCTTGCTGAAATCATGTTGCATTTTTCAACTTTTTGCTTCTCATTCTCAGGGTTATTCATAAAAATGAAGCAATATTTTAACGTCAAAAATGAGCTAATTTTATAATATTTGGTTTTTTCAAAGCTTTTTGGAAACCGAGTTGTATTTCTAAGTAATTAGTTGTGTCTTTCATTTGCTGATGCACCAATGTTTCTAATTACAGGATGTACTGAAGCTTTTGATTCCCATTTACGCGGTCCTTCTTTCATAATGGAACCACCACCGAAACTCGAATTTTCGAATTCGAGTGGAGGTTGGTTGGATTGTTCAGCTTCAGGGAACCCACAACCTTCCATTGATTGGCTTTCGGTGGATGGAACCTCCGTCGGAGATGTGGCAGGAATAAGGAGGGTTCTCAGGAACGGAACTCTGCTCCTGCAACCGTTTCCTGCGGCCGCTTACCGGCAGGACATCCACAGCACGGTCTACAGATGCGTCGCTTCCAATTCAGTTGGACGAATCATCAGCAGAGATGTGCAAATAAGAGCAGGTGAGATAGTTTTTGGGACACCCGGTATACAGGATGGTCCAAATCAATTTTTGTCGCAAATAAATTTATACGTGTGCAATGGCTATAAAAATGCTATTAAAAAAATTGATTATTAGTTAATTGTTTATACTTACGAGATAAACGTAATAATATTTTTTTTTTAAATGGAAACCTACCACAAGCTTGTACAAAAATTGTTGCTGTGTAAAAATTTTTTTGTAAGCTCACACTTTTTTGTTAAAAAAATATTTGACGTACAAGAATTAAAGAATTTTTTTGAGTAAATTTTCAGTTTTTTTGGAAATAATAAAGATATGTTTATGCATTTCATAAATGTTAAAAAAAATTTAAACTTTATCTGTTGTTAAAACTTATTTGAGACTTAATTTTGCAAATTTAAATCAAATTTTTCAAATTTAGTGATTTTCTTGGTGAAAAACTCTAAACATAGAAATTTTTTTATTTGCGGTTTTGTTTTCAAAATTTCTCAATTTTTTTCTTGGTGAAAAACAGGCACAAAAAACTCAGTTGGGACTTAATTTTGCAAATTTAAATCAAATTTAGTGATTTTCTTGACGAAAAACTCTTTAAACAGATGAATTTTTTTAAATTTCTGTATCATTTTTGCCAAATCTCTCACATTTAGGGTGCGCTCTTGGCGAAAAACAGGCGAAAAGGTTCATTTAAAACTTAATTTTGCAAATTTAATTCAAATTTTCCAATTTTGTGAGTTTCTTATTGCTGAAATTTGTTTTATACGTTTAACACATTTAACACAATTTTGCAAATTTCTTAATTATTTTGACCAAATTTAGTGCTTTTTTGTTGGAAAACAAGCTAAAAAACTTATGTCAGACTCAAGTTTTCAAATTTGAACCAAATTCTTCAAATTTAGTGATTTTTTGGTGAAAAACTCTCTAAACAGATAGAAATTTTGCTATTTGCGGTATTGTTTTTGCAAAATTCCTCATTTCTTGTTGAAAAACAGGCGAAAAAATTCATGAGACTTAATTATCCAAATTTAAATAAAATTTTTCAAATTTAGTGATTTTCTTGGTAAAAAACTCCCTGAACAGATGAAAATTTTGTTATTTTCTGTACTATTTTTGCCAAATCTCTTACATTTAGGGTGTTCTCTTGGTGAAAAACAGGCGAAGAGGCTCATTTGAAACTTAATTTTGCAAATTTAAATTAAATTTTCAAATATTATGGTTTTCTTATTAC